AATGCCGTGGGCTGGAAGCTGACGTGCTCCTGCCAAATCCTCCAGCATCGCAGCCCCGGCACCCTCGGTAGCGCCTCCGTTAGCCGGCCCCCACGGCCTGGGACCATGACGCCAGCTCAGCGGGTGACGGTGTCGGGTGTCCCTGGATGGAGAGGATCGTTTCCATCCGCCGCGTTTGGGTTTTCCCTCGCCATTTGCCCCGCGTTCCCTGCCCGCTCGCCAACACTGCCGGTGCTCTGCCCGCAGGTCCACGCCTGGGAGATCTCCGACCAGCTGCTGCAGATCCGTCAGGATGTGGAATCCTGCTACTTCGCGGCGCAGACCATGAAGATGAAGATACAGACGTCCTTCTACGAACTCCCCACGGACTCCCACGCATCCTTACGGGACTCGCTGCTGTCCCACATCCAGAACTTGAAAGACCTGTCGCCGGTTATTGTAACCCAGGTGGGTGCTGGGCTTGGGGGGAGCAAGGGCCGGCGGTGTTCCCGGCAGGAAAACCCGCTCCCGTCAGGCCTAACTGGCCGTGGGATGTGGGCTGGTGGCCAGGCTTGGTGACCTGCCTTTCCCAAGGGCAGGGAGTGACAGGACAAGGGGTGACGGGTTTAACCGGGAAGAGGGAGATGGAGATGGTCCATGGGGAAGGAATTCTTCCCGCAGAGGGTGGGAGCACTGGGACAGGTTCCCAGAGAAGCTGGGGATGCCCCATCCCTGGGAGTGTCCAGGGCCAGGCTGGATGAGGCTTGGAGCACCCTGGGCTATGGAAGGTGTCCCTGCCCATGGCAGGGGAGTTGGAACTGGATGGGCTTTAAGATCCCTTCCAACCCAAACCCTTCCGTGATTCCATGAAGTAAAGCCCTTGGTCTCCCTCGGTCACTTCTCCTCCGGCACGGAGAACACAAGGTTGATGCCTGCAGCCAGCACAGCCGCGTCTCCGGGATGGAATCGTCCACCTTCCTTTGTTATTTGGCTCAATCAATCACTTTACCCCCTTGTTTGCTGTTTGGAGAGGCCGAGGGGAGCAACAGCCCTTCCTGAGGCTTCCCCTAACCCCGCCCCGCAGCACCCCGGGTGATTTCCCCGGAGCCGCCTGTTCTCAGAACTCCATTCCCCATACAACATTCCCATTATCCATACATTCCTGCGTGCTCGACACGGCGCAGGCTGAAGCCTGTCCAACCCCTGGATACCCTGGTGGGGAGCATCCGGTATTCCGGTGACCCCCTGACCCCCCGGGGGATGCTGCGGATGCATCCCACCCCCCGCGGGCTTGGGTACCCACCAGCCTTACCCTGGGGATCGCAGCATCCCTTCTCCCAAGCTTTTGGGCACGTTTCATCCCTCTCCACCTTAACCTGTGGATCATTTTTCCCCCCTCCAGCTGGCTTTAGCGATCGCAGACCTCGCCCTGCAAATGGCATCTTGGAAAGGCTGCGTGCAGACACTGGTGGAAAAGTAAGTCCTCGTCGGTGGCGCTGACGCCCCAATTTCAGCCCGACGGGTGTTTTTCCTATCCCACTCCCCGTTTCCCGACGCGCCGTGCTGCTGGCCTCGGTCGGGCGGATCAACCCACCTGCCAACGTGTGGGTTTCCCACACCCTTGGCTCTCACCTTCCGTCCTTCCTCCCCGTTCCAGGTATAGCAACGACGTGACGTCGCTGCCCTTCCTGCTGGAAATCCTCACGGTGCTGCCGGAGGAGGTCCACAGCCGATCCCTGCGCCTCGGAGCCAACCGCCGCACGGAAATCATAGAAGATCTGGCGTATTATTCCAGCACCGTCATCTCTCTGCTGGTAAGGAGGCCGAGGAGCTGCTTCTCCCCCTCCACATCCCCCATCCAGAGGATTTACTGCGCTTTAAATTCAGGAAAACGCCTTAAATCCTCCAGCCTGTTGGTTCTGGAGTGGGTTAGGGCTGGATTCCTGCTCAGGTCCTGGCAGTTTTGGGATGATTTCACGGTGAAGCAAGGAATTCTGTCAGCCCATCGCGGGGGAGTGCATGTCGATCTCGAGTTCATCCCTAAATTCACCCGTAGTCTCCCAAAAGAAGGACATTCAGGTCCTTATTGCTCTTCTCCTGCCCCTTTCAAGGCTGATTTCGGAGCGCTGTGGGATAAGCCTAACGGAAAGAGCCGGATCTCCTGGTTCTTCAGGAGTTTCCTCACCCAGGGAGCCTTCGGGCTCCCTGAAAAAGACACCCTCAGGCCCCAAAGCCGGGCAGGGAGCGAGCGTGGAGG